GTGATTTGGAATTGAAATTGGATTGGATTAGGGGTGCAAATTAGGCTGAAATTGAAATGAAATCTGGCTAGATTTTAAATAGCCACGTTTCCCCATTTATTTTATAAAAAATACCAAATAAAAAGCTGGAAATAAATTGCAAGTACTAAAATAATTTATAACATATAATTATCAATTTAAAAATACTGGAATTAATTTTTTATAAGTATAAATACAATCAAATCATAAATGAGGCTAATATTGCAATTACATGCAGTTGAGCTTCAAAAAATGCTAAATAAATTTGTAAAAATATGCAAAAATTATCTGGGCTATAGTTTGGCATAAATATGAGAATTCAACAAGTGAATCACCAAAAAATGATAATTTTGGATATTTATTGGATTTTTCTTAATAAAATAAGGCAATAAAATTGATTTTAAAAGCCTTTAAAATTAAGGAAAAATAATAAAAATATTTGTAAATACTTATATATGCATACATATGCTATTTTGAAAGGATTTTGCATACAGAAATATACAAGAAAAAATTGGATATCAACAATTATGTTTACGTATCGTTACTTGGATCATGCCAAAAGAAAGAAGGGATAGCCTTAATGTACCTGAGCCAATTTTCTTGACAATCCCTCTAACACACGTCTTTGCGAAAAACGTGTAACGGCGGATCGAAGAAGGAAAAAATCCGTATGATATTATTGAGAAAGATTGTATTGTACTCCCTTATAATTGCGAAATCTCACGTTACTTTAAATTTGTTGAAGACCTTACGTTGCTTATGTGATATATGCAGATGCATATTAGAATGGATCATGTTACTTACGTTGCTATTGATGACTCTTTAAGTTGGAGATATTTTATATATGAATGTGGGCCCCACTTTATGTGGTGCCTTAACCACATTCCTTTACTTTGCCACCTTTCCTAATGACTTAAGAGTCATTGATCTTGGGGAGGCTTTCTGCCATGGGAGGCTCTTAATTTATCCAAAGATTTTAATTAATCTTCTACTAAAAATTATTAATTATCTAATTATTTACATAATTAAGAATTATTCCAACTTACTTAAAATACTACTCACTTTTAACATACTTTATACACCTTACTATAATATACTTTACTATCATGGTCATGTGGTACCTTGTATGGAACTAATCCATAAATATGGGGTATTATAACTTGGACCGTATTTTATCCCAAAATATCAAACTTTGACAAAACTCATTTTCTTCGATTTGCTTACCCTCTCACCTTCACGAATTTACTTATCACTTATATATATATATANGAAAACTCCCCACGCGCCCCGCGGGCGCGGGAAAAAGGAGATGCGACAGACCCCGGTAGTACGACCTTTCTCGGGATCTCCAAGTGTCTAAATCGAGAGTAGTCCTCCAATGCACCAACATCCATGCCTTCAAAAAATAGGTTACATGCCTCATCTGCGGCCCGTGATACCACGGTTGGCTTCTCTATAATGGCCCGGGCCTCATAAAAAAGAGACTCCATGTGGGACGGTGACTCTAGAACGCCTATGATGTTTATGGCTTCTCTCGAAACTACAGTATCTTCTCGAGAGGCAGTAGCCACAGGTTTCACCTCGGGCTCCCGAATGGAAGAAGCTTCCTCCTTACGGTAGCCTCCCTCCAGTGTTGCCCGCTCTTTTGCGGCGATGGCTGGCTTATAGGCGATAAACTCCATGTCATCATCTTCAGGGTAATCCTTGAGCTGGTAAAGAGAACCAGGATATAGTATCCTGGCCCGAGTACTGTCCTTGGTGCTCTTCCGGACCTTGACCATGATCCTCTTTTTCTTGGTCTCGAATAGAGCATCTGAGAAGCAAGAATATCCCCTCTTCCTTCTCTTTTTCTCCTCCTTCTTCACAGCGAATTCAGTGATAGACTGTCCCGAAGTTAAGGGTTTTTCAAATGAGGATGGGGCCTCGTCGTTGCCTACTACTCAAAGCTCGGTGGTCTTGGGCAAACTTGTGGAAGGAAGAAAGAGGCTTAGGCGAAATAATATTGGAATGAAAGGAAATTTAATAAGGAGAAGAAAGGTACTCACCATGGGAATGGGCTTTCCATTTGCCTTTTGAGAGTTTATTCCACTCGCGCTCGGAGTATGTTAATTGTTTGCAAATCTCTTTGACCCACTCCTTGAATCCGGGGACTGCATTAGGGACTCGGGCGACCGCTGGTCGATGAGAAAAAAAGAGTGAATTCAAATAATTATTTTAACAACTTAAGTAGGGATGGACTTACGTCTTACGTTCCACTTCTCGGGGAATGACATGTACTCATAGGGAATGAGATCCTCGGTCTTCACCCGAACGAATTTCCCCTGCCAGCTTGATTAACCCCCCTCGAAAAATTTGGGGGCTGTAGATGCGAAGCAGGTAGTCGATAGTGAACCGGTGTTCCTCCGTGTTATTAACAAAGTGACGAAAGAGAATCACGATCCTCAAAAAGATGGATGGATCTTACCAAGGCAAACCTCGTACCTTTTGCAAAAGTCAAGGACCACCGGGTCCACTGGGCCAAGTGTGAAGAGGTATGTATAAACACTTAAGTACCTCTCCACGTGAGTTGTAATGTCCTCATCAGGATCGGAGATGCCTATTTCCTTTCCTTCCCACTTGATATTCTCCCGGACCGTTGGGATCATGTCTTCGGTGATGGAGTAGTATACCTCCTCACGGCGGTCCCCTTGTATAGAGGCCTTCACGACCTTAAAATCATTATCTTTGTAACATCCTCCGGGAATAAAGTCCTTAAGGGGAGGTTTCGCGGCCTCTGCCGGCAGGGTCGCTTGGATGTCAGTTGAAGGAGCGGTATTTTAGGGCACAAACTTCAAGGTTTTTGCCATCGATATCTAGGAATATGAAGGTTTGAAGGCGGATATGAAGGTTTGAATATAAGTATGAAGATTTGAAGGTCAAACTTGAATATTCAAAGACAGAATATGAACATTTGAAGATTGGAGATGGAGGAATGAAGATGTGAAGAACAATATATGAAGATTTGAAGGAATTATGAGCAAGTAAAAAGTTCAAGGGTAACTGAAGAAGGTTTGAAATCGGAAGCAAAAAAGTACAAAAAAAGGGGGAACTGAAGCTTTTATAGGAGGGAGATAATTAATGCGTGGCGTTTCGCATTTGAGGATGGTCAACCGGCGGTTGACACATGTCCGAAGTCAGAACGACATGACTGATAGGACGCTCCATTGACTCGTCGACCCGATCATAGAGTACAGAGGAGGGAATCAGGGTCAACTAATCACTTCTCGTCATTTTGATAAATCCATCCTCCGAAAAGTGAGGAGACTATCTGTGTACGGGTAAAATTGGGGATAAAAGTTACCCCCGATTTTCCGATAAAAAAACAAGAGGACAATGTGGCCCGATATGATTTGGGGTAGTGCCGAGGGCTTTCACAGACCAGAACCAGGGGAGGACGAACGGTGTGCCCGAGACTAGATATGATCAAGCGTCGAGCTCCAGCAAAGTGAAGAATCGGGGATAAGTGAAAGGCAGCTAAACAGAACAAACGAGGGGCCGAAATATCCGCCCACCACCGGATATTATGGCGTAAATCTCGCCCCGTGTCAATTGTATATTAAAATTTACTGGGAGGAAATGGTCTTTTACCTTATTTAGACTTATACTAGGATTGAAACTCCCTACTATAACTTTTTCATAAAAAGCTCATTATTGGCACGCATATCCAAGCAATAAAGTTGATTTTATTCTTTAGTTGTTGTTAAAAGTATTCTTTAGTTGCTTGTTTATTAAGTTGTTATAGAGCCGTTCCGAAGGCTAGATCGAAACCAATCTCTAAACGTCCATTACAAAGTTAGACTTAATGAGACATTATATTTGGTTTGATCGCCCTGACTTCCTTTAAATCAATTATTTATTATACATAGTTCGTTTGTGTTAAATTAAATCACATATTCTTTAACTGTGTATAAATTTAATTGTTACTTATTTGAAGGATAAACAATACTAGAGCTATGGGGTGCATGATTACAAATTATGCTCCCCTAAATTATCAATATTAATGCTATAATAAAGGTAATTAAGCCTTATAGAGGCCAGAGGAATCTTAGAATCTTCTATAACGTTTCTATAATAGTCATATGTTGAATTATCTCTCATCTAGCCATAGATTTGTATTCTGTGTCACCATAGTAGAGACACTACTAACTGGCCATCCTTGACACGTGCCGCTTCCTAATTAACCCAAATCTTAAAACTGTTTTTTTCCCTATACACCTATGACTCAAACTATTGATTTATTTCTCATGTGATCGGGGTTTGAGTTCTCCTTCTTAGTTAAGTGCATGACAAGTATCTTTATTGAAGAGATTCGCACTTTTAAAGTATCTACAAGCATAAACTGGTTAGAAAAAGTTAATATACGTCCACTTAATCATATACTATATTGATAGTATAAAAAAATTTCACATTATTAATACAATTTAATGAGTATACTATGACGTTAATCTACTTTATCCAGGAGACTGATATCATGCTTGATAAAGTACAACAACAATAACAACCCAGTATAATCCCATTTAGTGGGGTCTGGGGAGGATAGTGTGTACGCAGACTTTACCCCTATCCTAGGATAGAGAGACTGTTTCCATAGGGTAGAGAGACTGTTTCCAAATAGACCCCCGGCATCCTTCCCTCCAAGAACTTCTCAGCTTGCTCTTGAGGAGATTCGAACTCACAACCTCTCGGTTGTCTGCATAAATTATTTTTATGTAGATCAACTTAATTTTGAGTGAGTAAAAAGATTTTCCATGCTCTGTCAGTAGGTAATATAATACAAGAAACCTAATTAAAACGCAGGAGATGTGAACCTTAATTTAAGCAGAAGCACATGTCCATTTGCATTTCTGTGCAGCTCATCATCTCATCAACTTAACTTCTCTCTAACTCCATATATTAATATCTCTAATTCATTGCCCATTCTCCCCATTCCATTTTCAATAATCATGGCTACAAATCCTAACAGTACTGTCCCAAAAAATATCAGCCATGCCCATCCAACGACCATATTCCGGTGGGTCCCATCCCGCCGGAAAATTACATTCAGGAAGAAGAGGTTGCCGACGGTGCGACTAGGAGGTGAGAAGAATCCTCGCCGGGGATTCTCCGTCGTGAAGCTTTTCCGGCGAGTTCGACTAAAGTGGCTGAAATTGCACTACACGTGTATGCTGAAAAGACTGAAAGAATATTATCAGTCTGCGGTGAAAGATATAATGGAAAGTGGCGGAGCATTAGACGCCTTTCAACAACGTCTACTATTGGAAACCTCTTTCGCTGTTCCTGTAATGGGCCTTTCCTTCAATACTTTTCCAAATCACCATGGCACTTGAAATTGCAGCACCTTAACAAAATCTTTTTGGTAAATATTTACATTTTCTAGCTATGTTTTCAAGCTTATTAAATAAAGTCCCCTTCCTAGAAATGTAAGATTTTTTTCTTTCTTTTTTGAAAAAATAATTCCTCTTATATTGAGAATCATAAACACTTATTGTGTGCTGTAGTGAAGCCAAGATTATACAACAACAACAACCCAATATAATCCCACTTAGTGGGGTCTGGGGAGGGTAGTATGTACGCAGACCTTACCCCTACCCTAGGGTAGAGAGACTGTTTCCAAATAGACCTCCGACATCTTTCCCTCCAAGAACTTCCCACCTTGTTCTTGGGAATACTCGAACTCACAACCTCTCGGTTGAAAGTGGGAATTGCTTACCATCAGAGCAACCCCTCCAAAATTATACAAAGTGATAAAAGAAACTATCATATCACACTTGGGATTTAAATAAATGGGAAAAATGATATTGCATAGCCGTTTTCGAAATAATAGTCGAAAAAATGTATATTATACCTTTTATATGTTATATAAAAATTATACAAATTTTATACACTTTTTCAGCTAGTAAATGTAAAATTTATGACGCAGACTAAGAGTGATAATACCCCACTTAAATATGTGATCTAAAGCCACTTTTGTAGTACCTCTTTACTACGACTAGCTAGAATTGGATTCAAACATTAATATACAACCAAAACAAATTCGTCTTTGCCCAATTTGGAAAGTAAAATTTTCCAACGAGGGGATTCAATTGAAACACATTACCTATAAAATTTGGTGTAAGACGTGATTAAATTGGTAGAAGATGCAAATTTCTTTTACCTTGGATTAGGAAATTGTATAGAGCAATTATTAGCAACAATAACAACAACCCAGTATAGTCTCACTTAGTGGGGTATGGGGAGGGTAGTGTGTACGCAGACCTTACCCCTACCCTAGGGTAGAGAGACTGTTTCCAAATAGACTCCCGACATCCTTTCTTTCAAGAACTTCCCACCTTGCTCTTGGGGAGACTCAAACTCACAACCTCTCGGTTGGAAGTAGGGGTTGCTAGCAACCCCTCTTGTCTTCAATTATTAGCAATTATGTTATTTATTTATTTTTACAACACTAGCTACTTGAAATTTAAATTATTTGAAAGGGTCATACCATGCATGTGTGTTTGTGCACTTTTATACTTTATTTTTGGGGAGTTTAACCTAAGTATCACCTATAACTCCAAGAAGGTCAAAGTGTCTCTTGGTGTGAGAGCTAAATTAGAGTACAAGTTACGAGAAGGGATTATATAATCATAATGGCTATGAAAAATAGAAAAATGCTAAATTAGGGTAAATTATGCACATGACATGAGAGGTGAAAATACAAAAGTTGTAGCACCCCAGGATATGCAATCAATCTTAATATTTAAGTCTAACGTTTTAGTGAAATGCAAATGAAAGTGAAAATTGATATTTCAAATGATATAATGTTGGTTTTAGACTTTTCGTTTTCAGTTTTATAGCTTTTTTTGCTGTCCTTTTATTTGGCCAAAAGTAAAAAAAAAAAAAAAATCAAAAATCAAAGTCAAGGTATTTGGCTAAGGACTTTTGAAAAAAACTATATTAAAAGCACTTTTCAAAAGTTTGATCAAATAATAATTACTGTTCAAAAGTATTTTCAAATTAATTAGTCAAACATTAATTAATAGATCTAAAAATTACTTTTCAAAATAAGTTGATTTTAGAAGCACGACCAAACATGATTTGGAGTTCCCTTAAATTTCAAGAAAAATTAATGAAGATTTTCCTTTTTCTTATCTGTCTGTGACAGATATGAATCCTTTTTCTAAGACTAGACCAAGCTCATAGTGCCAACTACTGAAAGTTGTCGACAGTATCTCTATTTTCTATAAATTAATGACAAGATTTTGTATTTTTAAAGACAGCGGAATCATAGAAAATCATTCGAGCATAAAATATGTTAAAACGGGGAAGCAAAACGAATAATTCCTTGGAGAGAAACAATGAAGAGTAAAGATAATTTGTTATTGAAGCTAGTATTGCTTAGAGCTTAGAGAGATCACATGACCTTGTCTCTCAATTTTTTTTGGAATTTTAAGAAAATTAAATAAATGAAAAGGTGATTTTAAGATGGACGAATGTGAGTTACGATCCTCTGTTCAATTTAGGAATTTTTACCTTCCTATGCCACATATGAAACCTTATTACCCTCAATATTTAAGGTTAGAGATAATTATATTTAGTATACTAAATTATTATTTATATACCATAATTTAAAATAGGGATATAATTAATGGGGCATTTATATGAGGCATAATTATAGGACCGTATATTCCCACGTTTTTCTTTCCTTTCAGCTCAACCCTCCCTCCCCACGTTTTACCTTTACCCGTAACTCTCCCCTCCCCACGTTTTACCTTTACCCTTCACTCCCCCATGTTTAGCATCTGTTTTCTTCTTTACAGAACAAAAGCTACCCACGTTCTTCATTATTCTCCATTTAAATTCACCAAATATTGAAGTTATCATTCTACAAAATTCGTTCCCATCTTTAGTCAAGTTGAAGTTAAACCATGAAGAACATCAAATCTCCCAAACAAATACCTAAAAAATCTACAGTAGGTGATATCCCCTCTTTCGATTTGGGTGTTCTACACCAAAATCACCACAAAAACAAGTAAAATCTACACATGCAATGGAACCTACTACTCACAGTTCATCTCCTAGACAAATCCGTGTCGAGATGAGAACAAAGCAAATGCACGATGTAGATGCTGGAGGAAGTGCTACACCAGGCGGCAAACAACTCAAAAGAAAGGGGAAAGAGGTATGTGTAGATGACGACTTTGCTGAAGATGTCCCTAAAATTCCACTGTAAAAAAAACTATTCTCTCTTTCTAGATGTTTAATTTTTTTTTATAATAATTTGTTAAATAATTAAATTTTTTTGTCTTATGCAGCGATTGTGGTGTATTTGTGGTTGCTTTTGCGGAGTATTTAGCCTTGGAGATTTGTCAATCCCTTCAGAAGACCTTTCGGATATCGACCAACACCGTAGACGCTATGGAGCTCTCATATGGGATTATGCTACAAAGAAGCAAGAAGATGGGTCAATCAGTGAAAGTGAGGTTATAGGCAGGCTAGCAAGGAGGAAGGGTGCTCCTGCGTTGAATGAGAAGACTAGAGTCCACAGAAAGACGAAATAGTGTCATGTTTTCCTAGTTTAGTTGATGTCAATTTGTAGTTGAAGGAAAATACACTACTTTATGAACAAAATTTTTATTTTTTTTATTGCGGCATCCCTTTTTGTTTTGTTATTTTATCTTTCATTATTAGTTGTTCACTTGAATATAAATTGGTTGTTTACATCATTGTATCTTCATTATATTAAACATGAGTATTTTGATGTTAGAATACAATTTGCCTACAAATAATCTTCACAATATGTACTTTTTGGAAACACTCAATGTAGTTATTCTATATAATTTTGTAGTTGTATATGTTCATAATTTTTATGAAATACCTTCAAGTTCTAGGTAATATCTGTATATAACTGTCAGTTGAAGTTAAATTATACAATAAATAGAAGAAATAAATACTCCAATCATAGAAATATATTATCCACAATTTATCTACAAATCATCTACAAATTATTACCAAGGCTACAATTTAACTACATTTAACCTATATTTTACCTACAATCTGGAAACACTTTACATTAAAGTTACTTTTTTAATATCAGTTGTATTGTAGATAATAAATATTAAAATTTAATTACACTATATCAAAGATAAATTTACAGCTTGTTTGGATGGTTATTACCCATTGTATCGTATCGTATTGTTACTTTAAATACAATGTTTATTTTGATTGTTACTTAAATTTTATTGTATCGTATCGTTAAATCCGTCGTTATATAACGACGAAATGTGCCACTTTATGTAACGACCGATTTGGTGTGGTCGCGTCGTTATCTTGTCTTTTTCTCTCAATCTCACCTTTTGTTATTATTAAATTATTTTATTTTATCATTTACTCTACTTTTTTATATAGTAAATTTACCTTGTATCATAATTTTTCTTTATAATATTGCAAGTTTATTCTTCATATTGCTGGTGCGTGATATCATGGAATGATGGCAAACGACACAATCTATCCAAACATTGTATTTATCAAACGATACAGTACAATACAATATAGTACGATAAGATACATTGTGAAACGATGCGTAATAACCATCCAAACAAGTTGTTAGATGCCTGACACAATACATAAAAGCATATTAAACACACATAAAAAAATTGTAGTCTACTTCATAATGATCTTTAAAAACTTAAACGATTACACAAAAAATCTGCTAACTTTAACTCACTAACAATTAGTTTGAATAACTATTCTAACTACATGATATTCATTTCTTCTTGGGCGCATTCTTGCAAGATCTTTTGTTATGCCCTTCACCTTCACAATTTCCACATGATACCTTGTACTTCTTTGACTTTATTTCATCATATGTTTTATATTTTTCCTTTTGAGGTTTCCCTGGCTGCCTTTTATCTCCCGGTGGATTTACTACCTCATCCAAAATATGTTGTGGCACATTCCATTTGCTTTCATCAGGAAGATGATTTACTGGTATTTCATACGTACGCAGAAGGCTCTCCCTTTTGTAATACGGAGAGCAATAGTTTTCATATGTTTCATTCCTGTGCCTTAATGCTGCCAAAGCATGCACACATGGAAGTTCTTCAAGTTGGAATTGGCCACAGCTATATTTCTTGTTTTCTAGACACACACAATGTACCGCTTCACACCATCTAACACAATATGTATATGATCTGTTGAAGCCCTCACCTACAATTGCAGAACAAACAAAAAAAAATATTATCTCAATCATAAAAATAGATTATCTACAACTTATCTACAAATCATCTACAAATATTCTATACCTTATCTACAACCTACAATTATTTACAATTTATCTACAATCTGGAAACACTGCATATTAAGTAATCTGGAAACAGATTTTTTCTGTTTTTCTGCATACAATTGTAGTTTATTTTGTCGTATAAATGTAGTAACTTCGTGGATAATTTTGAAAACTACATTGCTTTATTCTTTCATTAAACTGATATGTAGTTTAATTGTAGGTAAATGTAGTAATTTTGTAGATAATATCGTAAAACCATAATTCTATGCAATTTCGAACTATACAAACTTGCACTTGTGTTATCGTTGGTGATTGCCAATTCCATATTGAAATCTCATACACTTATACATAACGAATATGAACCTAAGTTTTTATTCTCCTTTTTGGTCTCCATATACACACGAAACCCCATATCAATCCTAATCTCCATTGGGGGACAATTGTCGTTCACCATGTATTTGATTTCTACAATTTTTTCTAAAGTATCAATCGATAGTTGTTCTGCAATTGTAGAAATCAGAATATTGTAGCTTGCATTCTCATCTACCACAATGGCATCAACTTCAAAATCTCTAAATCTGCCATAGTTATCCCAATTCTCATTCAATTGTAGCATGATTGCGATTTTGGACATGATTGCGTGTTGTTGCTGATGTATTATTCTAAATTTTTTCGTTTTTTTGGATTTCTAGATTGAGAGAAAAAAAGATGAAGAACAGATATATGATCGCCAATTTGATTTCTGAAAACGATGAAGAACAGAATATAGCAATGTTGAGTTGTTGAATCTCGAAGATTTGAATTCTACAATTTGAATTCAGTTTGTTGAAGTTGTTCGTAGTTTGTTGAAGTTGTTCGTACTTCTTTTTTTAAAAAAAAAATTTGAATTGTAGTTTAAGAGTAAATTACGCAGATGCGAAATCTCCTTTCCGTTTCAAAACTTGAATTTAATGTAGAATCAATAAATCTCAAGATTCTTTCCTGATTTTTCGCGCGTTATTAAGGGAAGATTCTGCCCTATTAATTTCTAATAAACGAATGGTACAGAAATTGTAGGGAAAATGTGGATTAGGCGGGTAATTTAGATACTATGCACATATTTGATAATAAAGTTTCATATATGGTATAGGAAAGAAAAAATCACTTCAACTTATCTCGATCCCAAAAACAACAAAGGTTCATATAAGTCACAATTTAATTTTAGCTCAACTGGATTTAATTTGTCAAAATTTGAAGAAATCAGCCCATTGACACGTATTCTCTCTTACGCAATTAGTAATACTGTGTATTTTAAGTACATTCTTAGTGCTTTCATTACATAATCTAAAGGTAATTTTGTTATTCCTTTAAAAAAAATATTAAATCAAACAGTACTACGTAAGATTAAGAGTGAGAGTGAAGATAACATAATAACACTACTAGAAATTCGCTAAAAATCGACCAAAAACCGATCAAAGTTGGTTGATTATGGCCAATTACTGACCAAAACGCGGCCAAATACGCTTGGACGGTATTTTCGTGGTCGTTTTAATATACCGACCAACATTGGTCGATATATTAAATTCAAAAAAAAAATATTGCAAAAAATTCGAGCAAAGTTGGTCGGTATTTTAATTATGTAATCAAAAGATTCACTATCTGGGAATCGAACCGGGGTGTGTACTGTGGCAGGATACTATTCTCCTACTAGACTATTGGTGCATTTTGTTTTAAGATTGTCTTATTTTATTTATTTATACTCTTTAATTATATTTTCGCACGAAAATAACCGACCAAAGTTGGTCAGTTTTTTAAAATGACCGGCCGAATTAACCGACCAATTTTGGTCGTTTTTTAATATTAATTTTATTTATTTTAATTGAAAAACCAACCAAAGTTGGTCGGTTTCTTGAAAAATAAATTTTGCGGGACTCAAAAATAGTTCCCCGTATTTTTGCGCCAAAGAAAACCTATCAAGGTTGGTTGGTTTCGTAAAAAAAAATAAAAAAATAAAATATTTTGAAAAACGATCAACTTTAGTCGATTTTTTAGCCGGTTTTTTGTGGATTTTTCTTGGTCGATTTTTGGCGAATTTCTAGTAGTGTAAACATTTTCGTCTCTTTCGGATTCATCTCATTCGAATTTTGTTATTTCCATCTGTTTTGTCACTTGTAAGCACAAATGAACAATTGTAAATCTGTAACCTGTTATAGTCTTATGGAACTTTCAAATTGACAGGTTACATCATATCTTTACCTGCTCCTCTTTAGATTATTACTTTATATATATATATATATAGTAGTATTTTGGATAGAAAAAATTAAATATCATTACTGATTATAAATAGGAAGGAATCAGAAACCAGGAACGTAAACATATAATATATAGAGCCATGATATGTCTAACTGGTTTTTGTCCCTTTTAATGGTCTGAAGACGAGATTCTTGAATTTTAGCCATGATACAAGACAGGTCGATCAAACCATATATAATATAAAAAACTAATTCTAATAAGATAAGCATTAAAACTCATTAAATAACCTCTGGATGACTCATTTATCGATATTCTGATGATCTTTAATTCACTTATTACGTTCATTAGACAACGCAAGTTGTGACAGGAGAGACACTTGTGGTTTAAGAAAACGTAGAGGTCAGAGTCAGACTTAAAATATTATTCCTTGTCCAGTGGGATTTATCATTTATTTAAGGCTCAAATAACTTTGACTCGAAAGTCTAATCCCAACCTCTTTGGAAGGAGCTCCAAAAAAGACTTGACTTCAGAGCGGGGAATTTTTCTACAAGTGAGCACCAAGTCAAATGTATTCAAAAAGGGCTATACCTCTGCCTAGACCTCCAACTCTATGTTATAGCCTTCATGCCCTCGATCCGACGGTCCTCATTCTCCCACTTGGCAAGCTGCTACTGTGAACAACAAAGTAAAGGATGCTTCCAGAAACCGTCGAGGTTCTTCCTAGGAAGATTCCTTCTTTCTGTGGATATTGGATTTTTATCTAATTTAATAAAGATGTGTGAACGAGAAATAGAGGAAAACGAAAAGTTTGAAGTATTCCTTTTACTAAATCACTTTATCAGTCATCGTAAAATGGAATGAAAATCGTTGTGTTTATATAGAAAAACACATTTCTAGCTCTTAAAAGAGTTGAGAAGAAGTAGTGTCTTGCGCCGCCGTCATCGTCGCTCGCTCGGCTTCGGATAGACAAGTTTTTTGGACTAAATTTATTTCCTGTTTAATTATTCTGCCGAAATGATACGTTATGTGAACAGATACCTTCACACCTATTCAACTCAGATTGTTTGGCTATAAATTCATAGGCTTTACCTCACTTTTTCACCATGGCTCCCCTCTCTCTTCTGCATTTCTGCATTGTTTTTCCATAGCAAAACGTAAGCATCAGAGTGGTTTACTGCCATTTGTTGAGTTCGACGAAATTCTATAATTTCCATTGCCGGTACTATATAATAGTTGTTTCATTCTATTCTGGGAGGAATTAATCCAATAATCTTGGGCAATAGTGAGGGGATTAAATTCCTTAAGGAAACATAGTGTTGGACTCGAAACTTTTATTCTTTTGATTCTGTTTCTGGTTTCGTTTTATTTTGAAGAAATTATTTTTCGAACACAGTTTAATAACAACCGACACATAACTATGTTATACCTTCATAATTATTTCTTAATTAAACGCAAATCTTTACATTTCTAAAATTAGCTAAGTCAATGACGGTAGATTTAACTGGTTAGCAAAATTCATGGAACTCAAATTGAAGTGAAGAGGTTGATCAAATTGCTAGTTCTCTCTTCTCAGAATCTTTGTAGGTAGACCTTTTCTAGTGATACTGCACTGGTGTTATTGTTGTCGGTAACTAGTGGTCGCAAAATTGGTTAAAAATAGTTATTTTATCCATATTATCCACCGAAAAATTGATTTAATAATGAACGTCTTAAAAACGCGTTAAATATGGATAAAATTCATATTATCCACTTAAAATATGGATAATCAATGGGTTTAATTTTTATATTTGCAGTGACTCAAATTTGGGAGACTAGAAATTCTCCCGAAAGCGATCATATTCAAGAAGCCCGATGGTAGGCTATAATTGTGTATTTTAGCCATTAAGTACACTCTAATTCGCTGCACTTTACTAGTGTTTGATCTATAAATGGTATTATTTTACACTGAGTGTGTGTTTATGCCTTGTAGGAGGGATTCCGAGTTACAATGAGATTTTGGGGCTAATTCGAGCTAGTTTAGAGCTTTAATATTTGAGGAAAAGCCCAAGGCTTAAGTTGGGATAGTGTTCGGAATCAACGGACAATAGTGCACTCAACGGGAGAAACAAGAGTTGAGCAGGAGGCTCACCCAGGTGCGCGACCGCGCACGAGACCCCTCAAGTGCGCACCTGAGTGTGCATGTAAAGCAGAATCTGCCAGATGTGCGCGGTCCTATGTGCGATCACACCTCCAGGTGCGCGGCCATGCATGTCCTGTTCTGGAAACTTTTCCCAAGCTTATTTTCGTAATTTTGGAGGCGACTTCTTTTGACCTATATGAAGCCTAGCTCGTCTAAAAATAGGGTATCTTGGATTTTTGAGCAACTTTTGGAGAGAAGAAGGCAAGGAAACAACGGAGACGGGAAACACTTTATCTAATTCATACAAAACAGAAGTTTGTTGGATTTTTGAGAATTGTAATGTCTTTCTTGTTCTTCTAATACTTTTGTGATAGATTAATTTCTCCAATATGGAGTAATCGTTTTTAGGGTTATTGATGGATGTTGTGAATTGACTATTGTTTTGGGTTTTACTCTACGTTAATTGCCTGAATGCATTAAATGAGTGATAAATTGAATTGCAAGGCTAATTGTGTTTTTACTTTAATCGAAAGAGAAGTGTTGCTGCAATTTACATTGTGCCATATTGTTTGGGGGTGATTTTACACCTCTCATAGGTAATCAAATTAGCTTAGAGAGTTATCAATTAGCCCAGTTTAAAAAAATATCCGAGAAGCGTTCTTCAAAAGATCATTCATTCACTGTATTTGTGCATATGTTCATAGGACCTGTTATTAGGTTGAGTAAGGGAACTCTCATTCATTCGAAAGAAGAATTTGAACCCATAAAGTAGCCTAATCATCTGTTGAAGGAGTCAATAGAAGTTAAGAGTGAACTTAACATAACGTTACCCAGAATAATAGTTGATCACATATCCTGTCATAACCCTTACTTCTCACTTTGATATTCAATCGTTGTTATACAGTCATTAAATTGTCATTAGTTTCTTACGATCAATAATTTTAGTTTTATTAGTAGTTGATAATAACATAAATCAAAGGTTTATTATCCTGGATAGTACTGAGCTGAAGATTTATTAGAACATTATTTAAACCAATCCCTGTGGAGACGATTTAATACTATATTATCTTTGACTAGCGAGCCTATGTTTTATACACTGGTTTTGCGCTTGTCCAATTTTGGCGTTGTTGCAGGGTATTGGCGATTAATAGTGTTTGAATTAATTTTCAGTGCTACTTCAGGAACAACTTTATTTTATTTTACCTTTTTACGCTCTTCTCATTTGTGTGCAGGCAACAAGTTAAGTTCAACGGTATATGACTCGATCCTATTCAAAGGACTTAGTGTCATACGACCTAGAATTAGACAAGCACCTAAGGCAGTTGAGAAGAGAGAAAGAATCGAGTAGATTGCTGTTGGATCAGCCTTCAACTCAAAATACAATGGTGAACAACGAAGAGGTTGTGGACCTAGTTGCGAGAGAGGCGGCTTACCAACACGAAGCACGGTTAGCAGCTGAAGTGGCCCGCAGAATTGCGGATGAAATGCTCGACGATGAGCGAAGGTTAAATCCTAACCGAAACATGATCGAAGATGAATTTGAAAATGCATCTCCTAGGCCTGGGAGGTCTCTAGGAGATTATGCCAGACCAGTATACAACCAACAACAATATAGTGTGATCCCCCTACCCATTGATACCAATAATTTTGAACTCAAATAGGTAGTCATCCAGACCATTCAGAACAATTGCATATTAAGGGGAAAATCCAATGAAGATACCAACAATCATATGATGGACTTCGACAAAATTGTGAACATATTTCGATACAATGGAGCATCACATGATTCCATCTACCTCAGAGCATTCCCGTTCTCACTCAAGGATGATGAAAAGCAGTAGCTGAGAAGTCTACCCACAGGTTCAATCCGTACTTGGGAGGAGATGACTACCAAGTTGTTAGAAAAATATTTCTCTGCCGCTAAGACTAGACGAATGAGGAAAGAGGTTCACAATTTCAGTCAAGGTGAAGGGGAGACAGTGTTCGAGGCATGGGAAAGATTTAAGGAGTTAGGGATGATAAGCGGTGTGAGGCGGTGCGGGGCGGGTTGTGTCTTAACCCGCAAAATTTCAATCCGCACCGCATAGCATTTCCACCCGCATCAACCCGCCCTACACTCACACTCGCGTCCACACGCCCGTCCCACCCCGCTTAGATTCCTTTTTTTTGCTGGAATTCTGTATGTCTAACCTAGTTGGGTTTACTTAATAATTGCAGCTGTTATGGCTGAAAAAGCTTGCTTAATCCATAGTGAGCAACTACCGTCACACATTATAAACGAAATAATTTTTTTATTTCATGGGTGGTGTCGAAGTCAAAAGAAAATGTTTATTACAAATTTAATATTGTGTATTATAATTAAATCACAAGAAGAAGGATAGTTGTTGAGTTTTTATACTAGACATTTCTGTTTGTCCAATATACTGTAATTATTTTGAGAACGAGAAAAGCAATTCGAAAAGATAAAGAAGGAAAAAACTATAATATACGGGTAGTTTGTTGCTTTCTTTTGCTGTCTCATATTATGAAGAAGCTTACTCCATATCTTTATCGTTTGTGCTTGCTTTATGTCAATTGTAGTGATTATATGTGTCCGGGAGAATACATTAACAGTTAATAAATCGATGATTGAGAGTGAAGACCCGCAACCGCCCCGCAACCCGCAAGAATATTTTTTTTAAAAATTAAACCGCCCCGCCCCGCATAGGTTCAAACCCGTACCGCCTCGCACCCGCACCGACCCATTGTCATCCCTATAAGGAGCTATTGAGGAGGTTGCATCATAACAGAATGGAGCAATGGATGCAACTCTAGGAGGAGATTGCTGAATAGTGTAGTTGCAGGTCCTTTGATGAAGAAAACTCCTGAAGAGATTGTCACTCTTCTGAATGAACTATCTAAAGACGCAGAACAATTGTCCACTGACCAAGGGGACCAAAGAAGGTCAGCGGGGGTGTACCAAGTAGAATCGTCGGTAGCAATACAGGCCCAAATTGCAGCTACGGCTCAGGACATTAGGCAACTAACGCTAGCTCAGGTGCAAAATCAACCACAGGTGGGATGTGACATATGTGGATTGGGATACCCGACACATGAATGTGAAGCTACAGCTGAGAAAGTCAACATTGTGGGGAACTTCAACAGAGGCAACTACCATGGAGGTGGTAATTTCAATTATATGGGACAAAGACATCCACGGTTCTCATGGATTTCTTCAACTGGTAGTTTGAACTCATGGCAACAAACAAAATCTCAGAGCACCAGTGCAAGGACCTCCTAGTTTTCAAACTCAACAGAGACAACCATACCAACCCCCACATCCCAACAACTCAAGTTTAGAAGATCTAATGAAGGCATTTATAAATAAATTCAATGAGAAACTTGAGACTCAAGGGATCGCTATCAGGAAGTAAGGCACAGCCATCCGGAATCTAGAAAGACAAATGGGGCAGCTTGCAACATTGTTGTTAAAAGGGACGCTGGGGACTTTTCCGGCAGACACTAAAAAGAATCCATAAGAGCCAATCAAATGTCTCTTAGGAGTGGGAAAACATTAGCAGAGACCAAGGCTAAACCAAGGGATGAAAAGGAAATCAGCTCAACTAAGATAGCTGAAGAACAAAAAATTGGAGAATCTATACCTAAGGAGAATGTTAGCAACAAAGAGGTTGATAAGAAGAAGGTGAGCAGTGTAGTTGAGGAAAGCAAGCACATGCCATGATTATCTTTTCCTCAAAAGATGAAGCGGGAGAAATTGGACAAATGTTTTGAGAAATTCTTGGAGACGCTGAAACAGTTGTATGTGAACATCCCTTTCATGGAGGTGCTCACACAGATGCCTGCCTATGCAAAATTTCTGAAGGAAATCCTTTCAAGCAAAAGGAAGCTCGAGGAAATGAAAGTGGTCAAACTCAATGCCCACTGCAGTGCCATTCTACAAAATAAAATTCCTAAGAAGTGTGGGGATCCTGGCAGTTTCACTATACCCTACTCGTTGGGTAGCAAAAATTTGTGCGATTCAGGTGCATCCATTAACTTGATGCCATTATCAGTGTTCAAGAAATTGGAAGGAGAGCTAGGAGTGATCAAATCTGTCCCAGTATTCTTGCAACTGAAAGATTAAACCACGATCATATCGGAGGGCATAATTGAGGATATTCTGATAAGGGTAGACAAATTTGTTTTCCCAATAGACTTCATCATAGTAGATATGGAAATAAATAAGGAGGTACCTCTAACTCTGGGGAGATCATTCCTTTGCACTGGCCGGGCTATTCTTGATATATATATATGAGGGGCAACTCATGTTATGAGTGGAAAACAAAAAGTGGTGTTTCAAATAAAGAGAATGATGAAATATCCATGTGATGAGGCATTTGCCTATGCTTGTCTCAAAGTAGATGTGGTGGAGAGTTATCTAAACAACACAAGCTGGATAAGCTGGTAGGTGACTCACTAGAGAGATGCATTAGTCAATCAAGCACAACAGAGGATGAAGATCCTGAAATCAAGATGGAAGTATTGAAAGTACTCCCGACACATTTGAAATAAACTTTTTTGGAGACTAACAATTTCCAGTGATTGTTGCTGCTGATTTGACAAGTGAATAGGAACACATGTTTGTGGAGTTATTGCGGAAGCATAAAAAGGTAATTGGTTGGAGTATAGCCATTATTCAGGGGATCAGCCCCGCAATCTGCATGCATAAGATCCTGTTAGAAGATAGGAGTAAACTAGTGGTGCAGCCCCAGCATAAATTGAAAAAAACAATTAAGGAGGTAGTGCAAAAAGAGATACTCAAATTGTTGGATGGAAGTATAATATTTTCCATATCTGACAGTCAATGGATTAGACCCATACAGGTTGTGCCATAAAAAGGGGGCATGACGGTGGTAAAAAACGATGACAACGAGCTAATTTCTACCAAAACAATTACTGGGTGAAGTATGTGCATAGATTACCGGAGATTAAATGATGCAACAAGGAAGGATCACTTCCATCTTCCTTTTATTGATCAGATGTTGGAGAAGGTGGCGGGGCGTGGATGTTACTGCTTCTTAGATGAATATTCAGGGTACAATCAAATATCCATTGCACCCGAGGATGTTGAGAAAACTACCTTTACATGCCCGTCCGGAATCTTTGCATACCAGAGAATGCCTTTTGGACTATGCAATGCACCAACTACTTTCCAGAGATGCATGATATCAATATTTTCAGATTTGAATGGGAAGTGTCTGGAGGTGTTCATGGATGACTTTACTCTATTTGGAGATGACTTTGAAAATTACTTGAGGAACCTCGAACTTGTTCTGAAACGATATGAGGACACTCACCTAGTACTCAACTGGGAAAAGTGTCACTTCAAGGTTAAGAAGGGAAGGGTCATAAAGTCACAGCTGAAGGTATTGAGGTTGACAGAACTAAAGTAGATGTGATATCCAAGCTCCCACCACCGAGTTCAGTGAAGAGCATCAGAAGTTTTTCAGGCTATGTTAGTTTCTATAAAACGGTTCATTAAGAATTTTTCCAGCATTACCAAGCCCTTAACTGCTTACTTGCCAAGGATGTGAAATTTGTATTTGATGTGGAGTGTCTCAGAGCAATCGAACTGATCAAGGAAAATCTAGTGAGTGCCCCTATAACGGTGACTCCTAACTGGAGTGAGCCCTTTGAGATAATGTACGACGCCAATTATGTGGCAGTAGAAGCAGTGATGGGGCAGAGGAGAGATAAACTATTCCAACCCATTTACTATGTAAGTCGGATCTTGAATAACGCCCAGGTGAACTATGCTACCACGGAGAAGGAGTTCTTTGTAGTAGTCTTTGCTTTTGACAAGTTCAGATCATATTTGGTGGGAAGCAAGTTAATAATGCATGTTGATCACTCAGCACTGAAATATTTGCTGAGTAAGAGTGAGTCCGAACCTCGTCTCATATGGTGGGTCTTGTTGCTGCAAGAATTTGATCTAGAAATCAAGGACAGGAAATGCACAAAAATTAAGTGGCTGACCACATGTCGTGATTGGAGAAACCACCTGTTGAAGCGGTGGACATTCGGAAGAGTTCCTAGATGAGTAGATTTTTTCTGTTGCAGCAATCTCCAATAGACCACCATAGTTTGCCGACATAGCCAACTTCTTGGCTAGTGGGTGTCTTCCACACGACTTGACCTCCGATCAGAAAAAGAAGCTGCAAAGTGAGGTAAAATGTTATTTTTGGAATGACCCTTTCGTGGTTAAGTTCTGCACAGATGTTGTGATTCGAAGATGTGTTCCTGATGGAGAGATGACAAGCATTTTGTCTCACTACCATGATGGAGCAGCTGAAGGAAACTATGGTGGAAATTGCACGGCAGCAAAGGTCATGGAAGCCAGTTTCTTTTGACCTACTTTGTACAAAGACGCACGAGCATATGTAGTTGCATGTGACAAGTGTCAAAGGGCAGGTAATATTAGTAAGAGGGACGAAATGCCTCTCAACTCCATTCTGGTATGTGAAATTTTGACGTTTGGGGCATCGACTTCATAGGTATGTTCCCACCATCACATTCTTATGAGTGTGTCCTAATAGCCATTGACTACATCTCTAAGTGGGTCGAAGCAATCTCTACTAGGACCAATGATGCTCGGGTGGTGTGTGAGTTCTCGCGGAAGAACATCGTTACCCGCTTTGGGACGCCTCGAGTGATTATCAGTGACAATGGGTCACACTTTGTGAACAAGTTATTTGCTGCACTACTATCCAAGTATGAAGTCACACACAAAACAAGAACCACATACCATGCCCAAACTAGTGGGAAAGTTAAAGTGGATAATCGTGAACTTAAACGAATTCTTGAAAAGACGGTTAGTTCTTCTCGTAAGGATTGGTCTGTAAAGTTGGAGGAAGCTCTATGGGCGTACAGAACTATGTTCAAAACAACCATAGGGACTTCGCCATTCAAATTAGTGTATGGAAAGTTGTTTCACCTCCATGTTGAGATAGAACATAAAGCTTATTGGGCAATTAAGATGCTTAATCTTGATCTTACTCTTGTAGTTGAACACAGGTTGGCGTAGATGAATGCATTGGAGGAGTTTAGACTAGTGGCATATGAAGACGTGCGGATTTTCAAAGAAAAGACTAAAAGGTGGCATGATCGTCTGATTAAGCCAAAAGAGTTTCATGAAGGGGACAAAGTCTTACTGTATAAAAGTAGACTCATATTGTTCCCCAAAAAATTTAAGTCTAGATGGACGGGACCGTATGTGGTGAAACATGTATCACCATATGGGGCAATTGAGATTCAGAACATGGACGGAACGGAGAGTTTCAAAGTGAATGGGCACAGGCTAAAACCATATCTTGCTGGAGGAGTTGCTCAACAATCCTCGAGCATCAAAATCAATTGAGGAAGCCCGATTGAGTCAAGCTGACGACTATAACTCAAAACTACCTCTAACTCTTCTACTAGTTAGTGTCACACTTCCTTTTCCCGGGGAATATGGAGTTTTTCCAATTAAAGTGACATTATTCAAAATGAAATTATTTATTTAATTAGATTCGCCACATGGGATAATTATTATGGTATCCCAAGTCCTCGGTTTATTTTAAAATCCTAAATCGAGGAAATTGACTCTTATTTATGGTCCGCAAATATAGAAGACCGGGTAAGAAATTATGTTAACTCGGGAGAAGGTGTGAGGCACTCCCGAGTTCCGTGGTTTTACTATTAATAATTGGCCTAATTATTTGATTTATTACATGTTTAAAATTTGTCGTGCATTTTTACTTTCCAACCGCGGGTGAGATCTCCATGTCGTGTGTGTGTATGTGAGGTCTTAATTCTTTGGGAGAGGGTCCGTTCGTTCCCCTGAGAGAATGAGAGAGATGAGAGCTTGTGTGAAAGGGAGTGAATTATAGGTGGCTAGGATTTTTTACTAGGGAAGGGGGAGGTTTATTCTCCCTTTTAGGATTTGGGGAGAGGGGGGTTTTAGTAAGCGAGGGAGGCAAAACGACGTAGTTTCTATCCTAAATTACGCTGTTTTGTATCCTTGAGGCCACTGATTTGGACTGGGTGCAGCTATGGATTGGGCGGGTATTTGTCGGTATTGGGCCGCTGAATATTTGCCCAAATCACTAAAAACTTGGCAGCCCCTCTCCTTGACTTTGTTAAAAATTCATATTTTGGCCAATTAATTAAATGACTTTTATTTTAATCATGTTTTCAACCTATGATTAATTTCTAAATGCAATTAACACACTAAATGAGAGATAAAATATTTTTTGATAATTTTTATGATTTAAAACATTTTTAAATATGCATGAACAATGCAAAAATAAAAGAAAAACTCCTAAAATTTCATAAAAACAATTAAATTATTTTTGGATTATTTTTAGGAGTAATTTTCTATGTCGGGCAAAAATTAGGTGCTCACAGTTAGATTTTTCACTTTTGTTTATAGTATAGAATAGATAGAAATTAATGTATATTATGATGTGTTTAGGTGCAGGAAGGTATATGTCGCAAAAGGTAAGGACTAAGGCATCTAAAAGGGTGTTTTTCAATGTATTCGTGCGCGACCGCGCACCTGAGGAGGCACCTCACGCATATGGTCGCGCAAAAAGCAACGTCATCCAATACGGAACGTGCATGGCTGCGCACCCTGCCACGCACATTCACCAAGTACTGCCAAACATGCGTGGTCGCGCACGGTGTGACCCGACCGCGCATCAGGTAAGTTTTTGTTTTTCCTTTTAATTTCGGATCNACCACATCACCACCCTACTCTTCTCCCTTCACCCATCATCACGCGTTTTCTCTCCAGATTCCCCTCAAGTATGTGAGATACTTTCTCTCTCTCTTTTCTTAGCTTTTATTTTGTTTTATTTTGCTTGTGTTGTAGCAGATTTTTGTTTTTGTTTTCTTTCTTTTTATGCTCCTTTTCTTGTGGGTAGAAGTCGAGTTTCACCATGGAGACGACCATATAGTGGCTATGTATGACATTGGTGTATCCTTTGTCTAATTAGGGATAAAATTGCTTTGTGGGAGGTTAGAACCTAATGTGCCTACTAAATGTTTGTGAAAATGCCACAATGAGATTGAGGGTGTAATTTTGTGACCAAGTGTGTGGGTGAA